AGCAAGAGCCTCTCAAAAAAAAAAAGAAAAAAAAAGAAAAAAAAAAAAAAACTCTCTCAAAAAAAGAAAATTGTGCTTGTGCCATTCAGCTCTCCACCACATGAGGAGCTAGTCACTGCCTCCTTTGAATCCACCCAGAACAAGGCAGGGCAGGTATATGAGACGGCAAATGTCTGAGCCAGCTGCAGAGGACAGACAGCTTTGCACTGCAGGGCATTTATCACACACAGAGCTTTTTGCTGCCGGGCAAGGTGACTGACCTGGGAGAGATGGGAGTGGAACTGGGACTAGAAAAGCCTGCAGGTGACCACTAATGGGACAAGAGCACATGCCCTCCCCCCCCTTCTTTAAGATTTGCTATTTTTAGATTTTTGCCAGAGGGCACATGTGCTCACTGGAGAGGGGAGAGATGGAGAAAGAGAAAGCAAGAAATCACCCCCCCCAGGGGGGATGGCCACACCACAATCCCTTCTTTTCCATTCTCCTCTTGGGATTTTGGGCATGCCCACACACACACACCCAGCGTTGAGTTTCAAGTCACCGGGTCTGGGACTTGAACTGCAGTCGGTCATGTGGAAATTCAGTAGCCTCAACCACTATGCCACCTGCTGCCCCGGAGAATTTGTAATTATTAACAAGAATAATGAATGTTAACATTTATCAAATGCCTGCCTTTGCCTGGGGGTACAATCACCCTGAGAGATGAGTGCCGTTGCCCGCATTTTCCAGAGAAACTGAGGCTCAGAGAGATGAACCGTTTGTCTCAGGTCATGTGACTGAGACACTCTGAGGCACATCTGTCTGCTCCAAAGGCCTGACTCCGCCCCCTCAACGCCTGTGCCTGACCCTGTATGGGCATTTTACAGGAGGGATTTCCTGATCCTTCCAGAATAACCTGAACCTATGGAATAGGTGTTAGCATCCTTACATGTTTGTTTGTTTGCTTACTGCTGGGCATGTGTGCTTGCTGAAGAGAGATGGAGAGAGAGCGAGAACCCCCTCACCCCCAGGCAGGACGGCCACACCACAATCCCTTCTCTTCCATTTTCCTCTAGGGATTGTGGGCACACACACACACACACACACACACACACACACAGTATGTTTTTCAAGCCACAGGGTTTGGGACTCAAACCATTCATGAGTTATGTGGGATTCAATGCCTTAACCTCCACCCCACCTGCTGGCCCCTAGCATCGTGTTTTGACAGATGAGGAAACTAAGGCTCAGAATGTTAAGACTCTTGCACTAAGTCACACAGTGAGGGAGTAGTGAGGTAAGGATTTGATCTGTCCAGGCTGGTCCCCAGTTAGAATTCAGGATCTTTTCACCCCAACTCTGTGTGTCCCCATATCCTCAGAAGAGTCTGGTTTCTATGCCTCATCACTGCATCCCTAGCACCCTCACAGTATGCTGAGCGCCTTCCCTTCCAAGGACAGCCAGCTGGAGAGCGAGGCTGAAGACAGTGGGGCGTGCCCCCCTTCCATACGTACCTTGGGAATCAGGGCTCCCAGTGTGGACGTGGTGAGTGGAGGAAGCTCTTCAAACTGTAGCACAAGAAGAAGGATCATGTGAGTCTTTGAGGCTACAGGGACAAACAGGAGTTGCTAACACAGTGATTAAACTCCTACATGCGCGACAGCTGGTGGCATGGTGGTTAAGACAGCTGGAGGCCACATGGCCAACTGAGTGGTTTGACACTTGAACCCAGCAGCTTAAAAAACCCACCAGCATATGTGTGTTGTGTGTCCAAAATCCCAAGAGGAGAAGGGATTGTGGCTTGACTATCCCCATGGGAGGCACGGGGGCAGGGGGGACTTCTCACTTTCTCTCTCTCTCTCTCTTTCTCTTTCTCTGTCTGGCCAAGTGAGCACATGCACCCTATAGCCAAAAAAAAGAAAAAAAGAAAACAAAAACAAAAACAAAAAAACCTTCTACATACTAAGACAACCAGTAGGGGCATCTTCTCTTCTTAAACTCCCCTTGGGAGGACCTGCCTGTCCAACAGCAGCCACCAACGGCTGATTCATGGTTAAATAGATTGTACCAACCACTTCTGGACAGGCATGGCAGAGAGCAGGAAGCAAGGCCCAAGTCTTTCTTCTGTAAATATATAACTCTCTATTAAAACAAGCGAGCATCACTGAGTCCATTTGCATAAACCAGCGTCCACAAAACTCATGACTTCCACCTTATCTTGAACTACCTGTCCTATTATTTATGTCGCATCTTCTTTAAATAGACACACTTCTTAAAACAACGAGTAGCAAAAATTGGAGAGCAGCACCACCTGGCAGAGAGAGGCAGTGTGATAAACCAACGTGATACGAGTGAAACCAGGCCGCTGCCTTCTGCACAGGCGTCATTATCCGCGAAGGGCTTTGGGCATGAGTTCTATCCCCCCTTAGTTAACAAAGGACACTTGAAAAGAGAGGCTTCACTGTACACTGGCACTAAAGAAAGACTGCTCTCAGTGGAACCCAAGATTGGCACAATTGGAAGGGTGGTTTTTCAGAGAACATCTTATTCTTAGGCGACATACAATGAGGGTTATAGAGTGAAAAGTCATGTCTCCAGAAATGCAAATTGCTCGACCACAGAAAGGATAGATGGAGGAATAGACAGATGATGGATGGATGGATGGATGGATGGATGGATGAATAGGGGGTGGGTGGTGGGCGAGTGGATGGGTAGGTAAGCAGGTGGGTAGGTGGACAGGAAACAAATGTGGCAAAATATTAACTGGTGACTCTAGGTAAAAACATATACAGATTTTAATTGTGCTATTTTGCAACTTTACCGAAGGCTTGAAATTTTTCCGAAGAAAAACTTAAAGAGAAAATGAGTCCGGAGCATACCTGAGGGTAATATTTAGTTCTTATGCGTCTTTTCATTACTTATGTATCAATATTCACCAGATGAATTATTCTAAATATTTATTGAGGTATGCATATGTGAAAATATGTTATGCTTTTTAAAAAGGACTGAAATAAAAATCAAACAGAATGGAATAGAGAGTGACTTTCCTGTCACGTGATCTGACGCTGTCTAAGGCCCCATCTGTGGACCACCTGGAGTCCTCCCTCAGCAAGCACTGGCATAACTGATTCCCATCTATGAACTGGAGGTGAGTCAAGGGGTGGACTCTAACGGTTCTCACTCTAAGGCAGATTTCCTGAGGCTATGGGGACGGGGTAGGGTCATCAAGCAGCTGTGGCCACCCAGCCCGCCTCGCCCCTGGATGGGTCCAGACTCACCATGCCGTTGGTGATGTCAATGTCCAGCGCCCCCTGCTTCTGCAGCATGGTCAGCACTGAACCCAAGAAGTTGGCAGAGATGGCCAGTTGGGAGTTGGTGTTGTCGCCCATGGGGGGCAAGTCCGGCATCTTTGCCTTGGACGTCGCTGGCCGCCCCAGGGGATAGTCGATGAGCTCTCCTCCAGCTTCCCCAACCAGAGACTGGGAAAGAAGAGAGAAGGGTCATGTGTATGTGTGTGTGTGGGGGGGGGGGGGGAGGAGAAGGTGGGAAGAAGAAGGCTGAAGACTGGAGCAAGTCCCCAAATCTGCCTCCAGACAGTCTTCCATGATTAAACCCACTGACTCTTTTATTTTGACCTTGAATTCTTGTCAGTTTGCAATAGAAAGGACCTGGATGCTCTCCGACCTCAGCCCTGCTAATGAATGAGCATGTCTATGCATCTGCATCGCTTGCTCTCTAAAGACCAGTCTCAGGACCAGCAGTTAGCGTAATAGCTATGTCGCTGGACTCCTATGTAGTCAACCACGGTTCAAGTCTCGGACCTGGTGGCTTAAACTCACACCAGGCACCTGTGTATAAGTGCCCAAGATCCCGTGAGGAGGATGGAGGAGAAGGGATTGTGGCATGGCCATCTCCCCTAGGAGGCGATTTCTTGCTTTCTGTCTCTCTCTGTCTTTCTGGTGAGTGCACATGCCCTATAGCAAAAACCTCTCCAAAAAAAAAAGAGACCAGTCTCCTCTCCTCAGCCTATAAAGAGCTGTGTGATCTGCCACAGGGACCTTTCTGCCATCACCTCAAGCCACTCCACCCTTCACCTTCCCTCTGCCAACAGCCATCTTGTGCTTTCTCCCACTTTCTCACCATCCCCACCATGAGGCCTTCTCATAGTCTATTCCCCACTCCCACCCCACACTCTTCTCTTGTTACATCCCACTCACCAAACTTGTCTCAGCATAAGTGTCGCCTCCTCCAGGAAGCCCTCCTTGGCCTCCCTGAGTGTATCACTACTTTAGACTTTGCCACCCTTGGCCCCTCTATCACAGTGCTAGATCTCTAATTTGACTGAGTAGTTCCTTACAGCCTGTCCCCTCCAATAGCCCAGCACCCAGCCTGGAGCTGGCACACAGCAGGTGGCCAACATGCATCTCCTGAAGGGTTGCATGTTTGTGAATACGGTCAGGTGAGCACGACCATATGTGCATAGGTGTGTCTGTATACACAGGAGCATGTGCACACCTGCACCCCTGCATCTGCTGGAGTCAGTAGGGAGGCATCCATATCCGTGCCCCTGGGAAAGTTCCAGCAAGCCCAAGCCCACAGCAGCGGCTCTAGCAGCCAGAAGGTCAGATGCCAGGTCCACATTTCTCAGCTCTGCATGAACCTGGTCAGTGGTTTAACCTCTCTGTGCCTCAGTTTTCCCGGTAAGAGCGCCTCCCTCAGTGGCTGCCGTGTGGTGGGCTGCATCAGCCCCAGAGAGCTCTGGGAGCAGGCCTGGCCCATGGCCAGCACTTGAGGAGGGCTGCCTGGGATCATGTCTCCTAACATGGCTCCCAGGCACTCAGCAAAGCCCTGGGGGCCCTTAGTGACACCCCTGCCTTTGGGTATGAGGGCCACCACCCCTAGCCCCAAAGCCCAGGCACTCACGTTGAGGTCCAGCTCCAGGAATTCCCCAGTCACAAGCGGGAGGCTGGAGAAGGTGTACTGGACACTTCCCAATATCCCCAAGGGGACCAGAGCTGCAGGCAAAGGTGGGGTCACAAGGAGGTCACCTCACCCACCCAGACCCCTTCTTTCCTTGTGCCCTGTGTCTGAGGGTGGCGGTGGGGCCCAGGCTCCAGGTCCAGGCACCAAGGAAGAGCAAAAGTGCTGGGTTCAAATTCCAGCTGTGCCTCTTCCTTGCTGCGTGACCTCCAGCAAGTCACTGCACCTCTCTGGACCTCAATTTCCTCCTCTGTAAGATGACTTTAACGTCATCTTTTGTGCAGGCAATGAGATCCTGGTTGTTGATGAGCATTGCACACTGTGAAGGGCTGTGCTCCTGAAAGAATTTTAAGGTTCCACAACGTGGTGCTGAGTTGGGTCTGACATCTCCCTGACTAATCGCAATGCACAACCCCACCTTCGGGGTTCTTCCTTCCTCTTCTTCGCTCACAAAGGAAAGAGTTTTACCTCTCTGGGAAAGCCGTTCTCCTACTGCCTGGGTCCCAGAGAAATGGGAGTGTCAGCAGGGACAGCTGCCCTGCATGATTGCGGTGACAGTGGCCGTGCCCTGTGCCGCTCAATTGCATGGCAGTCTGTGCAAGGAGGACCTGCGGTTGTGCAGTGCAGAACTGCACACCACGCGGGGCGGGCGTCTTTCAGGAATGTTCACTCAGAAATCCAGGGTCAGAGGTGGGGCTGGAGCCTGGCTCTGAGGACCGTTCGCCTCTGTGGTGTCTCCTGCTAGCTGCTCTCCAGTCCCTCTGCGAGGTGAAGCCAGTCCCTTCACTTTAGCAACAAGGAAACTGGGAAGAGTCTTCCCAAGCCCACACAGCGTGGGCAGAGCTGGGCTCAAACCCAGCTTCCTGACTCCCAGGGCAAGATCCCTCGTCCTCATGAGACTTAAGGAGTGTTTGAGAACAAGAGGAAAGATCAGGTAGCCTGCCTCTGGTGGCCTTCACCATCCTACACTTCAAGGGCCCAAGGGCAGGTCTGTCACCCCCGCCACACGAGACCCTCCTCCCAGCTACTGAAATGTCCCCAAGGCTTTCCCAGCGTGGGGCTCCGAGCAGGCGCTAGACCACGTCAGCCAAATGGAGTGAAGCAGGAGGGACTCACAGTCCACGAGACCCAGCTGGTCGTTGACCAGGCCCAGCACCACGTCCACGATGGGGCAAAGCTGTGGGGAGACAGGGCATGGCATTCTGGTGACACCGCAGAGCCAGGGAGGAGGCACACTCGTAAAGGACAGCACCCACCACAGTCGCGGGGGAAGGCCCTCTCATCATTCCCATTGAAATTAGGCGAAAGCTGAGACAGAGAGGTGCTGCCTGGTGCCACCCAGCTGAGAGTCAAACCCAGGACCGTGTGATTCCCAGGATCGTCCTCCAAATCCCTTCACAATTCTCCCCCTCCACATTTCCAAGGCCCCTGGAAACGTGCCACAGGCCCCTGGCTCCTTCCTCCTTCTGGGTCACCTGCAAGCCCCCTGGGATGGAGGCTGGACTGAGGCCCCATGGTCAGGAAAACCTAGGCTTGCTGCTTCCCATCCCAGGACAGGTTCTTACCAAGTCAGGGAGGACATTGGCCAGGACTCGGTTCACCAGGTTGTCCACGAGGTTGGGGAGAAGCCTAGGAGAGAGGAACAAGATGAGGACGAGACTTACAGCCGTGGGGAGGCTCACCATGACTGTCCACTCTGGACCCCGTCTCCTAGGCCCAGAACAGTGAGGACCTTGAGTGCTGGGAGATAGTTCTGGAAGGCAGAGTGCCTTCACCTTGAGTAGGCCGCTCGGGCAAATCATTTGGTCTTTATTTCATTCACTCTGTCAACAAACAAAAGCTTCTCGAGCTTCACAATGGGCCAGGCCCAGGCTGGTTACTTCCTGATTTTTTTAACTACAACAGCCGTTGCCTCCTGCATCCAAGCTCCTCACTCAGTTTCTGGGGAATGAGTGAAGCTCATTGCATGTTTGTGGGAGGGAAGGAGGGACAGCGATCAGCCAATGCAACGTGCTTGCATGGTCTATGAGAAAGGCTGGATTGTTGGTGCTAAAAGATCGAGAGATGTAATCCATTGCATAGACGAGAAAATCGAGGTCCTGAGAGGTGACCCAGAGAAAGTTCTCATGTACCACCCAGCTTGTGATCTCCTCCTAACCAGTTACTTACGGAGAAAAATAGACAAGATCTAGAGGACAGACCTGGAATCCAAGACTCCATTTCCAGGCATCTTGCAGAGTTGAGGAACTAAAGGAAATGTTACTACCCCAACATATAGAGGTGTGGCCAGGGCCACCATGCAGCAGTGACGTGCTGCTCAAGAGGAGCTGGACCCCACATGGAGTCTGTGGTTCGAATCCTGAGTCTGGTCAACCTGAAAGGTGCCAGGCATGCACTCACATGCCCAGGATTTGAAGAGCTAGAGACTGGAGGAAGAGGATCGGGGTGTTACCAGATAAACCTCTCCTGCTCCTCTCTCTCTCTCTCTGTCTCTCTCTCTCTCTCGCCTACTCATGCTCTACCATAAATAAAGGAGACCAAAAAGAGGGGGAAAAAGCACCCTAGCCACTGCCCTTATCTCCCCCAACCCCGAGGTTGAAGCTCACTGTGCAATGCTTGCCAATTTGACAAAGTGGAGAATTCTGTGAGAGGAAGCTCTAGCATATTTCTCCCGAAGCTAACGGTGCGTTTCAGTCTTTTTTTTAAAGTGGATTCCCCCTCAGAGAGTTTACCCTGGCCCTTGGGAAAGCACACACCTAGGCGTAGGAAAACAGTCTGAAGTCACTCTGTACATACTCAGGACAAGCTTTCTAGTTCCCTCCTGGGAAATCACCCAACAGGTATATTGGCCCATGTGTGCAATGACATGTAAACCATTATTCGCTGTCGTGTTATTTGTCATTACAGAAGATGAATTGAAGTGTCCAACAATGGGGGACTGAACAAACAAATGATAGTGCATCCAGATAACAGAATAGTACACAGTCATGAAAAGTTCAACAACAAGGAAGCTCTTGTTTGGAAACAGAACAATCTCCCAGTAGAGTACATTTAAAAAGTAAAGTATAGGACCAGTAGGTGGCGTGATGGTTAAGGCACTGGACTCCCACACGGTCAACCATGGTTCAAGTCCTGGACCTGGTGGTTTGCTTTCTCACTTCCCTTCTCTGTCTCTCTCTATCTTTCTCTGGTCAAATTAAAATAATAATAATAGTAAGTAAATAATTAAAATAAATGATTATTTTTTTAAAAAGCAAAGTACTAAACTATGTTTATAGTATATGCTCATGTGAGAATCCACATTCCTATCTGCTTCATTGTACAAGGAAATTGGCAGGAGGATTAAGAAATAAATCACTATAGTGAGCCTGCTGCAGGGGGGCAGAGGGGAGGTAGGAGAACCTTTGCTCTCTGCCTTTTTGTCATTTTGTATTTTTGAACCATGTATTGCTACATGTATTTCCTAGTGAAAACGTGCATTTTAGATATCGGTGAGGAGTCTCTGTGTTTCCCTCTCCCACCTCTCCTCACCCGGACCCCAGAACTGGCTTGTTTCTGCCTCCATCTACCCTCGGGCAGAGACAAGGATGCAGAGAAGCCCACAGAGTCAAAGCTCTGGGTTCAGGCTGCTCAGTGAGTTTGCTCCTAAAGTCTAGGTGGGTAAGGATTTGGGGAACCTTATGTGAGGGATGGGGCCAGGAGATAAGACAAGGAGAGAGAGTGGGGACCAGAAGTAAAAGAGACTCCAAAGGAGCCCCCACAACCAAGACCAGGGAGCCAAGAAAGGGACTCGGCTCTGAGCTGCCCCAAGGGCGTTGTCATCCCAGACCGCCTCCTGGGGCCAGCGGGCCGGCTCACGCATGGACACATGAAACCCCTCTGGACAGTGGGTGGGGAGCTGGCCACTTTGTGAGGAGAATGTAATAGGACCAACCCACCCACCCCCGGGCAGGGTCACATCTAACAGATCCAACTGGGGAATCTCCCCAGGGTGTCAGGCACCAATGAACGCACAGCCCTGGTAGACATAGGCTCGTGACCTCGTAACATGGGCCCAGTTCGGCATGGTTTCATATTCATTGTTTCATTCCCCAAGGAAAGAGTATCGCCCCATTTCACAGTTGAAGATCCTGGAGCTCCGAGAGGGCAGTAGGGCTACCCAAAGTCACACTGTAAGGGAGACTGGAACTGAGCCTTGCCCCCCTGGGATGCTCCTGGCCGGATGCCAAGGCCTCCTCCGAGCTGGAGATGCTTGTCAGCTGTCTCCAGACTGGCTGGAGCCCACGCCCTGGGTCTGAAGGCATGGCCCCTGCATTCCCATCAAGCCCGAACCCGCCCCGGGCCGGAGCTGCGAGCGGGAATGGCTCGGCACGAGTTTGCAGGGTTCATGCAGCGTCCAGGAGACCAGACCACAGTCATGCAGGTTATAGGAGAGACAGGCCCCCCGCACCCCCAGGCATGCCACTGGTGGCTGGTCCTCACCCTCGCAGCAGCTTGACCTTGATGCCCCCCAGGAGCGTGTCACAGCGCTCGATGACCAGCCGCGGGTAGCCTGTGCGATCCATGGTCAGCCGCACCTTGGCAGTGATGTTCACCTCCACTGCGATGTCCAGGAAGCCGATGAGACTGGAGGGGACCAGGGGCCAGGGGCCAGCGGGTCACGCTCCAGCCCCCAGGGCGTACCCTTACTCAGGCCTCACCCTTACTCAGGCCTCCCACACCTCCCACCTCAGACTCCACCCTGGCGGCCCCTGCCATCCATTAACTCCCCCATTCAACTCTCAGGGTCCCCAACCAGTGGCTTCCCCCACCCCAAAACCGCTGCCCTCTTCATCTTATGGGGGCTTCAGAAGCTGGGAAACCGGGGTTAGTATAAATTCTGGTTTCCTAGGTGACCACCCATGACGTAGCTTTATAGACAAGACCTCATCCCGTGGGGACAAATGGGTACGGAAGTCCACCCTCTGAGGTTCTCAAAGCACCCACTATGTGGCTGGCACTTCAGGGAGACGCTTCACTACTTGCCGGCTCTTAGGTCATGGCCCCATGGAAAAGAGGTGCTCTTGCTGTCCCATTGCCCCAGTGTCACTAGACACAGAGGCTTAGTGACATGAGGCGACTGGCCCATGGTCATGCAGCTTGTAAGAGAGTCAGGATTCCGACCGAGGCTGCCCAGACCCTAGCTACCGAGCAGGCTGCCTTCATGTGCCCAGAGCCATGAGCTGACCCAAGCCCAACGTGAAAGCCACATGAAGGCAACTCGTTAGGGCCTCGAGCCCGCACTACAGATGTGGAGGCTGGGGGAGACAGGGTGGTGAGGACGAGGGGAGGGACGCCCCTCCAAGGCCCAGGCACATACCTCTTCCCGTTGATAGCCACGCGGGTGTACAAGCTCAGATACACGCCCACGCCCGGCAGGAGGCGCACGGACACCCGCGGGAGGGTCAGCTCCATGATGCGCAGCCTGTGAGGAGGGTGGGCATGAGAGGCCCCCGCCACTGCCCTCCCTCACACCCCTCCTCTGCTCCCCACCCATTCCTCCTGCAGCTCAGGGGCAGAACTTGGAAAACCCTTTAACCCAGACGTTGAAGGCAAAACACGTCCTGACCCATGATCCCACTGTCCAGAGACCCAGCGTTTGCTTTTTCATACATTTCCTTCCATTTTTTTCCATGTCAAGATTCCATTCCCTCTGCCTATCCCTGCCCCTCTTTGCCTGGTTTCCTCTTGTCTCTCCTTCAGATTTCAGCTCAAGGTCTCCTCCTCTAGGAAGCCTCCCCTTTTATACGCTCGCATTCCTCCATGCTCTTCCTCCCATGGTGGTAACTGCGAGATTGTTTTTAGACCCCCTCAGCCTGCAGGCTCTGTGAGGACAGGGGTGTCTTTTCTTGGCTAAGCACTGGGTCATTCTCCCACAGCCAGCACAGCACCCCACACAGAGTAGGGGCGCTAAGTCTTTGCTGAATTAAATAGCAACTATGGAGGAGGCTGGGCGTAGTTGAAATTGTAATTTTAGCTCTTTGGGCCTTTCCCACTTAAGCTGTGACCAGTGAGGAAACTGAGAGTTGGAGATGCCAAGAATGTTCCATACATAAAAAGTGAGACAGGTCCCACACTCAGGACTGTTTCATGGTGACCCGGGGGTCTCAAGATGCCCAACCCTAAGGCCAAACTCTGAAGTGTGCATGACTCTGAAGACCATCCTCCCACCCCCAGCCTCAGCTGTGAGGGGGGATCACCTCTATTTGCAGGTTTACTGTGTGTGTGTGTGTGTGTGTGTGTGTGTGTGTGTGTGTAGGGGGATGTGAAGAGAGCCTGGCCCCTCCTTACCCTGTGATGCCTTGCACGGTGCTGAGGATGCCACCCTCGCCGAGTACGCCCAGGACACCCCCTCCTCCGAGAAGTCCTCCGTCACCAAGGAGACCACCTCCACCGAGAAGGCCACCTTGGCCTGCCAGGATGCCATCAGCTGCCAGCATGCCCCCAGTGCCCAGCAAACCACCTGGGCCCAGTGCCCCAGTGGCCACACCAGGCGGGATTTCTCCGGGCCGCAGCTCTCGCCGGTGAAGCCTGCCCACTGTGGCCGTGCCTTCAGCTGATCGGTACCGCGCCCCCTGCCCCTGCCATATGCATTCTCTCCACTGCGGTAGTCGCCATTGCGGAGGTCCCTGATACTGCCATCGGACTCAAGGATCTCGCCGTATCGGTACTTGCCCCCCAGCTGAGCAGTGTTCTCGTTGGTCTCAATGTGACCGTAATGGTAGTTCCCGCCAAGCTGTTTGCCGTTGGTGTATTTGGGGGGTGGCTCTCGGACATGGAAGTCATTGTAGGGAACGCCACCAACACCTCGGGGAAATTCAACGCTTCTGTAGTCATCATAGCGGTGTCGGCCACCTCCCAAAAGACCACCACCACTGCCACCCAGCAGCCCCCCACCACTGCCAC